ATCCCGAATTCCATCAATGTACTCACAATCATCGCCCAATAAACCATGATCATAGCAAGCATTACGATGCGACAGATACTGAACATCGACTACCTTCATATAATTCCTTAAATTTAAGATATGCAAGTTGAAACTGCGTAGATATTCTCTAAATAGAATCTATGCAATTAGGTAAGATATTAAGTTAACATATATATATATATATATATATATATATATATATATATATATAAAGGAAATAGATAAAGAAAGTATTATACATACCACTATAAGAGCATTTCCAATGTTATAAGAGCACCCACAATGCTTTGAGTCTCTCTAAAAAAATCGCATGTCATGTAGGAAATAGACATAGTCTATAAAAAAGTGTTTCACTATGCGATTAAAAGTGAACCTAGTCTAGCTTATGTGACAATAAAAAAAAGAGACCAAACCCACTTTTGGGTCTATTTTAGACCCAAGTGTGAACATGTACAATCAACAATCATTTACTATTATTATATTTTTATTGGTTGTTAGGTATTCTAGACCTAGTACTTTTTTTTTTTGCATTGGATAGATTTTGGATTTTTTAGCTTGAGTGTGTCCATGTCATTATAGACTTTAAGTCTATTTATTTGCCACATATGTAAAAAGAGACCCAAAGCATTGTGGGTGCTCTAATGTTGTTATAGAATAAATTTTCACAAATGTCAATAAATTAAATGCATTGTGAACCATGTAGGAAAAATGTTAAGTTTACAACTATGAAATTTAAAAATTATCTTCAATGCACAATGTAGTATAATTACAATATTATCTACTTACCAAATATAAAATTTTATAATATGTAATAAGAAAATTAATTCAATAATTAAATAGTTTAAAATTGGCAAGATTAATTCTCTCTCTTCTCTTCATTGGTTAGCTAGAGTGTGGAGGAGAATGCGGATGAACCACTTTCTACTTTATATTGTAGACATTAATTATATCCACATCATCACAACATTTGTGATTACATTGTACATTGCAGTATGAAAAGTTATGACATTGTTAAATATGTTGATGTGGAATATAACTTACCACAACAACATTTAAGCATTGAAGATGTTCTAATATGCTTTCAATTTGTATACTTTATTCAAAAGGAATATAGACTCCGATTTAGGAATATAGATGATATTATTTGACATGTTTCTTTAAATGACATACTTTATTACAAAGTTATATTAACACATTCAATTAAGATTTTTTTTTTTTTTTTTATATAGGTAACACGCCCCAAAATATATAGTATATTTAGATAGAAAAATTTATTTCTGTAGAAAATAACTCTTTTGAAATATAGTATATATATAGGGATTGGTTACAATGAGGACACATTCTTAAAATGAGTATGTAAGACTCAATCCTAGCCATTAGATAGAGACCAAGTTTAAAGTTTTATTTCCCGTATTTGTATTATAAGTACCTTGTTTCAATGTAGTACTAGTGCGTGGCCCGTGCGATGCACGGGAAAATAATATTTACGATGGTATTATAAATTTAATATATAAATAACATTAATCATAATTTATCCATTGTTTTTAAATTAAACTGGTTTGGACAAAGTCCGACTGGATGGACCAAGAATCGGTTTATAGCCTGTCTAGTTTGCTTGAATAATATATTTACTCTCAAATCCGTCAACACCAGTCGGTTGGACTGGTAGGATCAACACGATTTTCTAAATAAATTTTGTTATATTTAAAATTATTTTAAATAAAATTACATATTTAAATAAAATAGAGATTTATAAATTATTTATCAGTTAGTTTAAACATTTGAATTTATAAATTATTTAGATATCTTAATAACACATTTCATTTAAATTTATTACAAAAGTACTATATATATATATATATATATTAAAATGTTTATAAATTAAAATCTGAACAAACCACAAATGATTTAATAAAATAGCTTGATCGTTTCGATGACGGTCCAGTTCTGAAAACCTTATATTTACCGTACATTAATAAATATTATAATAAAATATTATTTAATTCACATAAATATTAATAAAATGATGTATAAATATTCTTAAATCATTAAACATGTTGTCATAAAAGTATTGTTAATACGATTATTTGAAATTTGGACTACATCACATTCACGTAATAACATATTTTCAATATAAAATCTATATTTAAGTTCAATAATCGAGTTAGTCTGGTCGAACTTATACATAACTTAGTCACGTGGGACAAACCAAGCTGTGTCAAGTTTTTTGACTATTTTAAATAGCACCTACAAGTATTTCAATCAACATGGGCAATACCCTAATTCAATCACCCGATTGATCCGAAGAAATTTTCTTATTTTCTTTAAATATATTTAATTTTATAAAATAAAAATATTTTATGATTCATATAATAAATGTCTACACCAAATGAAGTATATTAAGATTATAAATTATATGTCTAAAGATGAATTAATTATTTTTACTTTATACATATTAATAAAAAATAAACATATTAATTTTTAAAAAATTAAGATTAATTGATTGATTATGCAATTTAAAGAATAAAAATAAAATATACACACTTAATAAATCTTAGCTGGATTTTTTAAATAATAAAATGAACTAAAGCCCGAAATTTAAGGTAGCATTTAATGATGTATGATTTTTTAAAAAAAAAATAAAAAAAGTAATAAAACTTACTATATATAGGCTGCATTAAATTTTGACCTTTTTTTTTGCTACTATTTTTGGTAAACGGTAATTCTTATTATATATATATAGATATAGATGTGGCATATGGATTTAATTGCAATTTGCAATTGCAATTAAAATGTGAAATTGTTATTATTAATATGTATCACGAAGGTGATGATAATTTATTTACCAATGTCAAAACAACAAAAATTAGATTTGCATGCTAAAGCCTTTTGTGATATTTGAGTTTTGGATAGTTTTGGCCTCCCAAATAAGAGTATTTGAGATATTTGGGATTCTAACTAAAATCCCTTTAAATTGAGGAATCTTAACAAATTTTAATTACTATACCAAATAAGAACACGTATTGATGACTACACAATAATATCCTTTTACATAAAATTCATATACCAAATTTAATAGTCGCAATATTTGACCAAAATGATTGTATACATTAATTACATTGATTCTTTTTCAATTCGAATTTCAAAAAATACCGCCAATTATTAAAAATTTTCAAAAAAATTACTAATAAAAGTAAAAACGAATTATTTAGGCGGAATTTTTTATTCTATTTTCGGTAATGTCAAACATTTTTATATTTATATAGATATAGATATAGATAAATTATGAACATTACACATTATTAGCTGTAAAGATATACTTACTCATCCTCATTATGAAGCAAAATGGAAAAAAGAAAAAAAGAAAGAAAGAAAGAAAAAACCGTTATGTTTACACAGCCACAATCTGAATTATCAATCTTTAGCCGTACAAGTTGAAACATTCCACAAAATCCTAATTGTTTGTTTCAACAAAATCCTAATTGTGACCATATTTGATTCATGTAACCGAAAAATAATTAAATAAAGGCTGAAATATGAAAAGTTGCACACTTGCACTGAAAGCCGTAAACCTAGCTATGATAAATTAAAATGTACAATTAGGCGATTCTGGTAAGCATCTTAAACTTGGTTTTGTAGTACAATCTTAAAAAAAATAATAAAAAAGAAATAGTAAAATTATCTCATAATTTTGGAAAAAAAACTTTTTTTCATCTGAACTATCAGTTTTTTTTTCGCTTTACCATATGAATTTTTATTTTTTGCAAACTACCATCTAAACTACACGGGTTTGTCAATATACCCCCCATATCAGTTTAAACTCCGGTTTCACCTGTTTGAAACTGGTTTTGAGCTCATATAAATACTCGTTACCGGTCATTTTGCGTGAGGTATTTTCTCAGAATTCTCCAAATTTTCCTCTCTTTTGGTCTAGGGTTTTCAATTTTCGAATCAAAACAATGTTCAAGCAAATTTCCGAGGAGCTAATCGATGATTCCTGCCGCTGTGGGAAGCCTACTGTGCGAAAGACGTCATGGGCTGATGGTAATGCGGGGCGGAGGTACTCGGCCTGCGAGAAATACCGGGTGAGTGACTCAATTTCTTCTCTCGATTTCAAATTTATTAGTTTAATTGAATTTTCTAGTTTAATTGTCCATCTTCTTTCGACTTTTATGTTTGTCAACTCATATCAATATTTTTTTTCCTTTTTTCGAATTCCAGATGTTGGGTGGGTGCACATACCATGTGTGGGTTGACCCTCCAATGTGTTATAGAGCACAACAACTCATTCCTGGGCTTCTGAAACGGGCCAAGAAATTGGAAGAAGAAATTGCAAGAAGGAAGAAATGGGAGAGACTCATGTCGTTGGCAATTGTTGGTTTGATTGTTCTATGCTTCTTCAAGTGTTATGTGTAATGGGTGTGTTTGAGTATTGACTGAAACAAGATGAAATAGATGTACTTGAAGTGTAATGGGTATGCAATGTTGTAGTTGGCCATTTTGTGAATTGTAGTGGATGTGTCTCTTTTGTAAATGCAATGGAAGCATCTCTTTTATTTTGTGGACAATGTAATGTTATGGTGTATTGGTCATGAATGCAATGGATGTGTCTCTTTTTCATGAATGCAATGCACTTTGTTTCAATGCCCTGCTGTTTTTTGTAATTATTTTGTGCACATTGCTTGTTGGTGCCATTAAGGATGAATAAACAACCAAAATAAACTAACACTTAAATTTCCAACCAAAATATACTAACACTTAAATTTCCAACAAAGATCATACATCGCCAACATCCCAAAATCAACCACAATATCTTAACAAAACATGATCACAACAACCAAGTCAACTTAACATGTTAAGAGACAAAACAAACCATGTTTGTCCAACCCACACCAACACAAAACAAATCATGTTTACAGACACCAACTACAAAGCATGCTCTATCTACTTCAGAGCCACAAAATAAGAACAAGCCTAGTTTACTGTTGTTTACAAATTGGCACTTCTTCTTCACTTCTGACAATCCTTTCACTTCTGACAGCTCCTTCACTTCTCACATTTCCTTCACTTCTGACAGCTCCTTCACTTCTAACATTTCCTTCACTTCTAACAATTGATTGGTCTGGCCTGACTACAATCCCTCCCCCACTCATCATGTATCCTCCACCAAACATTTTTGAGAAGCTTGCAACATCTGTGACTGACCTCCCAGGTGGTCTCCATATGGGTTTGTCAACCTCAGGAGCAGAATTGGATGGTTGACCTTGAGATTGTGACATCTTTCTCACCTGGTTAACAATAATTACAATAATAAAGATTTTAAGTACAACTTCAATATGTGCAAAGAAAATTTAACCAAGAAACCATCCAAATACTTACATCCAACTTCCTTTTCAGGCCTAATATTTTTTTTGTGCTCTGAACATCCTTGGTGGTTTGAGAATTCTGTGTGTGCACAATTTTCTCAGTACCTATGACTTGTCAATTGACTACAACAACAAATCAATTAGAAAATCAATAAGAATATAAAATTAGTCAAGAAAGACTCAATTTTATCTACATTTAATATATCCAGTTACCTTACTAGCCTTGGAATTGGTAGTTGAAGTAGAATTGATGTTCTTCTTGGATCTTATGGTTGGTCCTGTCACTGTGATGCTTTTGGCCAACTCTTTTTGGGTTGAGACTTCTCTTGTCTTCTTGGTAAGGGTCTGTGACTTCTCAATTGTGGTGTTGGCAGACCTTGTGGTTCTCTCTCGACTTTGAGTAGTCTTCATTGCTTTCTTTTTCTCTGAGGTGTTGCTTCTTTTACTTTGAGGAGGCTGCACAATTTATTAGTTAGTCAGTCAATATTTAGGGTTTCAAACATTGAAAATGTACTGTAAAAAGTCAAACATACCTTTGCAAGTGGTTGTTCATTATTGGGCAGTGATGCATCAAAAGCATCAAATCCATCAATCACAGAATAAATCTCATCCAAGCTTGGGTCATTGTCCATCTGCTGAGGGCCCATTTGGTCAGAGCCCATCTGCTGAGGGCCCATTTGATCATGGCCCATTTGGTCAAAGGCCATCTACTGAGGGCCCATTTGGTCAGAGCCCATCTGCTGAGGGCCTATTTGGTCATGGCCCACTGAGGCAGGGCCCATTTGCTGAGGGCCCACTTGGTCATGGCCCACTGAGGCAGGGCCCATTTGCTGAGGGCCCACTGAGGTAGATGCTTGTGAGGGCTCATTTCTTTCATTTTCCTACACATATAATAATCAAATTTATTTTAGAATATCATCATAGTATGAATTTATTATAAGTAGTACATAAATGAAAATACCTTTTGGTTGTTCTCATTCTTCTTAGAAGGGCAACCTCTGACATTGTGGTTCTTCCGTCCACAGTATGAGCATGTCATTTTCACTCATTTTTTGCCTAAGGTAAGTGGTCTTCCACCTTGTGATGGCCTTCCAGAGTTTCTTTTACCTTCATCTGGATCCTTCCTTCTGTTATGTTTTCTTGGTCTTCCAGGCATTTTCTCAATCACATGTGGGACAAGAGGTTGCACATCCACATCTGGCCACATTTCAGAGTCATTAATGGCTTTCATCATATGTGAATGTGACCTTAGAAATGTGTTCTTACTGTAACATTGATCCACAAGATCTTCAGGATTCTTCCCCCAAGTAAAAATCCCACTTATTGCATGAACACATGGGATACCAGTTAAATCCCACCTTCTACAGGTACAAGTCTTCTCTGTCAAATGAACCTTGAACCTGGTTCCTATCCCATTCTCTATCTCAAACTGATCCTCACCATTCCAATGAGCAAAAAAAATCTGAAGCTCTCTTTTTCAGCTCCTCCAAGTTCTTAACAATCTTTGGACAGATATCACCATCATATTTTAACATTTGATCCCTTCTCTCATGCAGTCTCTTCATCAATATTAATCTGATATGTTCTAGGAGTTCAAGAATTGGCTTCTTTCTGGCAATCAAAATCATTGAATTAAAACTCTCACTATAGTTATTGTAAAGAATATCACTCTTGCTATGAGTTGAAAAGTAGGACCTTGACCAATGACATGGAGGAACATCAGCTAACCATTTAAATGCTTTTTCATCTCTATTTTTCATCTCATCCATAGCCTTTTGTAGATCAACCACCCTTGATGACATTGTTGCCTTGAAGAGGATACTTTTTAGGGCCAATCCCCTGTAGTTCTGCTTGAAGTTGCTGTACAGATGCATGACACAATACCTATGTTCAGATGCAAGGAAGAATCTGTTCACTGCATCAATTAACCCCTTTTGCCTATTTGACATAACTGTCCACATGTGGGCTTCTTTGATGTTCAAATCTTGGGCTAAAAATTCCATAAACCAGCCTCAACTATTTTTTGTTTCTTTCTTAACAACAGCATATGCAAATGGAAACATGCTGTTGTTTGCATCTAATCCTACAGCACTCAGCAACACACCCCCTGCACCACTTTTTAAATGACAACCATCAAAAGCATATAAGAGGTCTGCAACCATCTAAGAACCCCATCTTCAATGATCCCCAACAAATGTAAATCTTCTAAAAACAGGTTTTCCATCAATCAAGTTAGACTTGATCTTCACTGTGGTGTTAGGGTTAGTGTCCCTAATTTCTTTTGCATACCTCCACAACAATGCATATTGCTCACTATCCACCAGAATTCCCATTTTATGAACCCTCTTCTTGGCCCTATACATCATACTCTTGCTCAAAACAAGTTTCAGCTCTTTCTGTGTCAACATCATCATAGAATCTACTGGCCAATTTGGATCACTCTAAATTTTATCCTTGTAGGTTCTTGCAAGCCAATCACTACCAGCATGAGAAACTTTTTGTTTCCTGTTGCACCTGTGTTTCCCATTAAAAGTTTTACAACCATTGTGTCCTCATCTTGCTTCTTAGAGGCATAAATCACCCAGGGACATTTTTCTTGTTTGCACTTGGTTTGAACCTTAGTTTTCTCATTAATAGTGAAAGCAATATCCCTACCTTGTTTCCTAGAATGTTGTCTCACAGTTTCTCTAAAGGTAGGTGTATCACTATAGTTCATGCCTACCTCAAATTTAGGGTCTTCTCCATCTAACTTAGGGTTAAAAACAGGATAACCTTCATGCATCTGAGTTTTGTTCTTCCCCTCACCCACAGAAGGACTTCTGACCCTTTCTTCTCTCTCAAGTTCAAACCACCCAACTCAACTTCAACATTTATACTACCATCAAACAGCACATCATCATCTGATACATCATAATCACTTTCACCTATATAATCAGATATTTCTGAATAACTAACTTTTTCACCTGAATGATCATCAACATCACTATCACTTTCATCTGTTTCCCTATCATCAATAACATCCTACAGATATGTTCTACTTAAACCACAAGACTGATTCTCATTACTACCTACAAATGCATTTTCATGGCTGATTCTCTCCTCAGAACTTTCTAAATTCCCAACAAATGGTAATGGTTCATCAACATTAGGAAGCTCAGACTGATTACCACTACAAGTAAGGGGCTCATGTTCAACAAACAAACTGACAACTCTATCAGAATCCAACCATTGCACCAAATTCATAACATCTAAATCATTCTCAAGTAGTGACAAATCAGAACAATCACCCATTCCTCTTTTGCTATAGAAAATTTTACCCACATTATCCAAGCCAATATCTTTAACCATAGACATTATCTCAACCATTGAAATGAAATCTGCCTCACAATTGTCAATGAAGTCAATAGAACCACCACAATACATATTTCGACCAACACTTACAAATTTACCAGAATGATTGATTGCAATCGTAAAACCTTCAGCATTATTACCTAGAAAATGAAAAAAAAAACACCTCAGAAAACAAACAACAAACTAAGCATGATTATCCATATCAGTATCAGATTGGAGAGTAAAAAGTAACCAAACACTTACAATTGTGATTAGCTCCTATTGACTGGGTCGATTTTGGCCGCAACTTCCAACTCATCGTTGTGCTAAATCTAATTCCTACTCACAGAGTGCTCGATTTGGTAGTGAAATGAATTTCGATTAAGGTAGTGAAATGAATTTCGATTACAAGGCAAATAATTTCAATTTGAGAAGGGAAATCGCTCGCTCGCTCTAACCCTAATTTTTTTGGAAGAAATGAAATTGGAAAAAAGGTAGGGCAACCGTCAACCGGTAAACGAGTATTTATGTGGCGCTCAAAACCGGTTACAAACAGGTGAAACCGGACTTCAAACTGGTATGGGGGGTATATTGACAAACCCGTGTAGTTTAGATGGCAGTTTGCAAAAAATAAAAGTTCATATGGTAAAGCGAAAAAAAGTTGATAGTTCAGATGGGAAAAAAAAATTTTCCCCATAATTTTTTGTAGATAGTTTCAGAAATTTTATTTCAGTTGACTTATCAATTAACTTTTATTATATCACCTATTTTTTCAATAAATTTTTATAAGATATCAATTATAACTTCGAATTATCAGCTAAAGGTTTATTAAACATAGTAAAAAATGCAAAAAAAACTAGACAAAAGTAAGAACTTTACCTTTTTGTTAATCATAATTCATACTGTAGGCTTTTCTTTTTGGTGTATTAAATTGGCCTTTTATGAAAAATAGTACAATAATTTGATATTTATCAATTGAGTGTAATTTGTCAAAATCATTAAAAAAAATTGATAAAACTTTAATTTTGTCCACTATAATTGATCTCTTTTTAGAAAATGTAGCTATATTTGCATACACCAAACTTGAAGTTTTTGACAAATTTTAATGTACCAAGTTTGATCTACCAATATAACCTACATTTTAAGCCCGAAATATGAAATTCTGAAAAGAAAAAAAAAATGTTCATTTAACAAGTTAGTGTACCAACTTGAATAACCTAATCTTGTACTCTGGCCTGCGAAATATAAATTTTTTTAGAGTGTTAATATTCACCGCGCCCATTTTTACTATTTACCGCACCCTTAAAATACTGTTTTGCCCTTATTAAAAAATAATAATAAAAAATTCAATTTTTAAATTTTTTGTTTAAATGTGGCCAAAAAATACATTATCTTATAAATTGATAAATGTGGCCAATCATATGAATGTTATAACACAAAATTCAAAAAAAAAATCATAAAATTCGAACAAAATTCAAAAAAAAAAAAAAAACTAGAAAAATTCGAAAAATTCGAGCAAAATTCAAAAAAAATCC